GTATCATACAAAAATTTTGCAAAATAATGCAACAATCAATCACATTTCAGGCAGTTATGACTGTAAGTGGGAGAATCAAGCTGTCAAAAAGGTTTACTGAACTTACATGTTTGGATCCCTTTGTAATATTCTCAAACTTTCTCAATGCATTAAAACTCCTTACTAACTACAAAGGTAAGTACTCTTAGATGCACTGATTATGATGTTTTGGAGATGTCACAGAACTCAAAAAGAACGATTCTGTTTTTTTTCTGAATTATTTCCTTAAGAACACTGGAGTTTTTCTAATGAAGTACCGCACACACAAGATATTTTGAAGACCATGAGACAGCAGACATGTTTTGAAATTGGGAATTACTTTGAAACTTGGAAATATTTTCAAGCAAATTCCATTTTTTAAAGACCAACATTTCATACCTCCAAGGTGGTTGGTTTATTAGCCACATTTCCACCTACATGAAAAGTGCTGAGAGAAGCTTCTTTAAATGCTTGCAACCTAAAATACTGCCACCAGCAGTCTGAAATACCAGAGTGAGTGTCCCATAAGACAACACCACCTGTGAGTGTCATCCCTCCAAATCACTGTAGCATTTTAGCATAAAATCCCTCTCTGAAGCAGCCAGGTTCTGCTGGGCAAGCTGAGATGGTGGGGAGAACCATCCTATTTAGCACTACTGTCACAGAACAGAAATCTTAGCTGGTGGTAAAAAGTTGTTCTAAATAAAAAAAGCTATGGGTAACTTTATTTTTTTTTCCCCAAGTGATTTGAAATAAAAAACAGTGTTTGAAACTGTGCTATGCGTGTCTCTCCTTGCTCTGAATACACAGTAGCTGCAAGGGCTCAGAAGTGCCAAGGAATTCTTGTTTCAACTTTAAACTAAACATTTTGAGGCCTGGAAAGACCTGTGGCATAACTTAACTATGCTGTAAAAATGTAGCAATTAAAAAAAAATAGGAATTTTGAAAGTCAAAGAGGACCCTGCTTTAAAATCATGCTGACAACATCTCAGTGACATAAATATTGTAGCTCTGTCACTTCCATCCTCAGTTACCTATGAATAACTACTTTGTGCAAACAATTTAGCAAGGCCCCTGCTATTTCACTTCCTAAAATATGTTCTATTGAATACAACTCAGATCCACTATTTATATACAATCAATAGTAAACTCTAAAAGGCAAAGAATCCTGAACTGACACCAGACACAGTAAACATTCTACAATTATGTCAAGTAAATCTTACACTCCACGTGGTTTGATTTCAATACAAACTAATCACGTGTATTTCAAAATCCTCTTTTTCAACTTCTGTTAGGCTTTCCCACTCTGACCCACTCCAACAAAACCTCACAGCTTTTCCTTCTATACAACACTTCCCATGACCCTTAAGCCAGAAATTATTATATAATCTAGATTTGTCAGTGAGCCAGAAAAACAGGCCACAACAACACTTATGAACCTCCATTTCCAGTTTGTTATGTTTCCAGTATGTTATGTTTCCAGAAACAAAAATATTATTTACTCTAGTTGAAACTTTTTCATTAGGGCAAGGCATAACTACTTTCCAAGTTTCAGATGCACTTAAAGGTTATATGCTACATTGATTCTTCATAAAAAGGCAGGCACTTTAATGCCTAACAGTATTGCTACATCACAGCACACAAAGCACAATAAATAACCTTAAAACTACGCAACTGGTCAATGTATAAAGAGCAAACACTTAATGGAAAATATATTCTTTTATATAGAGATTCTTCTGGGTTCCCTACTGGCAAACAGTAATGTGGTCTTATCAGAAATAGTGACTAAAAACCAGATACAGGTCTGCTTTCAAAGGGGGAAAAAGTGACATAAAGACAAAATTTCCATATTTCCATCTGAAAGAAAGAAAAAAAAAGCACAGACTTTTATACTCAGATATTTATTCCTGATTGATTCAACAGAATAACAACAATCTGGGCTCTTTTCTGTATCTGACAGCTGGGCATCATCCCATAAACACAAGCCCCATACAGCTTCCCCTTCAATAGTTACAGGGGTAATAATAAATACTTATGTTAAAAAGATTACTTGATCTTGCAAACTTGATGCAAATCTGGGTATTTGTTAAAATTACTTAACTCACTGAGTTATAATTTCACATTTTTTTAATTTCTATAAATCTGAGAGATAAATTACAGAAATACACAAGCAATCTGATTGATCAGTCATAAACTACTCAAAGTTTATAGAGAGAAAGAGAAATGACAATTTTAGCATGGAGAAGCCAGATTGTCACAACTTACTAGGAAGAAGAAACAAAGGATCTAGTGATATTTTCAGAAACTGTTGTAGTTGGCATTTTAAAAGTACTGAAGAGGAAACATCTAACCAAAAGACTTGTGTGAGAGAGGAAAATAAATAAGTAAGCAAATAAGAAAATAAAAGTGGTTTTGCCAGTTTATGCTTCTTATCCCCCAAAATAAGACTAAAACATGTCTGCCAACCCACCACTGCTTTATACGCTTCCCCATCTACAGCCCTTTCACCCTTCTTTTAAGCCAGAAGAGTCCACAAGTGCTATACCACACAGTTTAATTAAATAAGCAAGTGAGCCATAGAAGGAACTTCAAATTTTGCAGCACAAGCAGAAGTGAAAAATAGATGCTAAAGGTGAACTGAAAATACAAAGCAACATCAGAAATGTGGAAGTGCAACTGAAACTTCAGAAAGAAAGAAAAGGAAAAAAAAAAACCCTACAAACCACTGATCTAATTACTTAAATTATACTTTAGAGACCAAAGGAAGTTTTAGAAGCACACATACTCATGAATTGGCAAATATTTTTGGCTGAAGAATAGTACAATGAAGTTTTTATCATATTAGATAATAAGAGTTCCACAAACAAGACAGTAAGTGTCCTATGATTACTAACTGGTGAGGAAAGAGGCAGGATGAACTGAAACAATGGAAAAGATAAAGAGAATAATACTTCAGTTGGATGTCATTGGTATGCAAGGAGAAAAAAGCACACATATATTTTTACACACAGAGGCAGGCAAGAAGTGAGCAAGTCTGGCTATGATGATACTGGATGAGCAGAGAAAACCAACTATTTTCTGAAGAACATTTGCAAAGTTAAACAAATATCCAGCTCATCTCTTAATCCAGAAATAATAATTTAAAAATAACCACTGACATCCATAATCTATTGTGAGTGTTTTCCAATTTGAAGCATAAATCAAAATAAAATCAAACAAAATACTAATCAGAAATGAGGCATATTAGATCCGCAATGTATGCAGGCTTCAGTGGCTTAGCATTTCCTAAGCCTGGATGACAGCATATTTGTTTACTCACAGTATTATGGAAGAGTCATCTACTGAAGGTCAAAGCTAGGCAGATGTGCAAGGATTCAGAATGAATAATCAAGAACCCAGCATTTCATGCCAATTTTTCTGCCACAGCAAAGGAAATTTTCTCAGCAGAAGTCCTCTTTCACTTTTGTGCCAGGTAAGAAAAAATCCCTTTTGCATTACCACCTTGCACTGTTTGCAGCTGACATCTGTAAGTGCCCCACAGCAATTGTGAGAAGGTAAGAACAAACCATAAAGATCTACCACATAATTTGTACTATATACAAAAAGCACATTGATATATTAACAGTTAAGGAGGGATTTAGATAAGGGCTATATAAAAGATGTATTTTTAGCCTGAATACTTCATGAATGCTTAAATATACCATGTAGAGCAAGGTATTGTTGTGTTGCAATTACAAACATATGCAAGGCTTTTGTATTCAGAAGTTTCTCTAACAGCTTAAAACCAAATTACCAACATGCCTCAAGCTGCTGCACTACTGAATTGGTGCAGAACTTATTAAAGCCTGTTGTGAAAAAAATTGTTAGCATGCATGCCAAAGTCCACGGATCATCACCAGGCAGCAGTTAACCAGACCCTTCAATGATGAGAAAGTTCAGGAGTCACTAACTCTTTGCTGCTCCCACACACAGACGTGCTTTTTTTGGCTTTCTACCTCACTGCTGTTTGAAAGGAAGGTGGAAGATAAGCCTGTCTGAACTGACATGCCAGAGGGTTTCTGTAGGACTGGCCCTGAGCAGTTTACTGGGAAGCTAGAAGCAAACACAGCCAATCAAGCAACATGTCAATGTCCATCCCACTATGGGGAAAAGTTGCACTCATAAATACAGAGCAAGCAAGGGACAGCAGAAGATGCTGACTGTCAAGGAGGCAGACACTCAAAAAACCACATTACCATCACACACACACATACGTGAAATTTTTTTATCCACTTTCTTGTGATGAGTGATGACGGGGTTTATTATCAGTATGAAGAAAGCTGATGGGTCCTTATGAATACACAAGTACACCCCACTGGTGTAATTTTCAGTGTGCTTCACCAAGCAGTGCAAACAAACCATTTTCTTTGCCAGCACAGTATCACAGGTAGCAGTCCTGAGTTGGACCAAGGAATTGTTGATATGTCTGGAGCCAGATACTGGAGGCAAGAGTGACTTCAGGAAAGGAAGCATCTCCTGCAGAGCAGCAAACACAGTACTGCCTTCAAACCATGACTGCCCAAAGCAAAATCAGTCCTTGGGAGAGGGCAAAAAACAGCGAGTCTCTTGTAGCCGGTATTCCTTGTTTCTTCTTATGAAGGACATGCTTATACCACGTTTGAGAACAGGTAAAAATAAGAGTACAAAGTGGCTAGAAAACTTTCAAAGTAGCACATGTCCTAATGCACTTAGCCTACCTAAAACAACACTAAAAGGACTTCAGGATGAGCAACATACTAACTGAAAAAAACAAACTGTTCTGAAATGAATAAATATATTTCTGTATTTATCCTTCTGTGTGCAACATATATCCTCTTAAATTTCCCAATTTAAACTATAGAACCAGAAGGACAAAAAACTCTGCAGCAATTGTAATAGTTTTGTGGCAAAGATGGATTCAACAGAATTTTTTATGTGTTTCTAGTAAAAAGAAGTAGTTTTACCTCTTGATATTAAGTAATGCCCAAGGTATCCCAGTGGGAGTGTTGAAAGCAGGTAGCAATTTCTCTCCAAGCTCCACTGCCTTTTTTCGGAAAACCTGGAAGTTAAGAAGAAACCAAGTGTTGGAAAAGGCATTTTTGCTCCAACTAAATTAATTTAGCTAATATAACTATTGAGCATGTGGCACAATCCATCTCAGCACAATGAAGCATCCCTGCTCCTTTAGCATGCTGCCAAAGGGAAGAAGCAGCACAGCCTGCTTTCCATTGCACCTGGTGAGGAGAGAACTCACACAGCAGGAACACACAGTGACAATGCCCAGATGACCTGCTCCTGCCACCACCAGCATCGAGCCAGAGCCACCAATACAGCCAGACCTGACCCTGCAGAGTGGGTCATGCACTCCTGGCTGTCCCTGCAGCACCCTGTGCTCAGGGAAGGGGCTGTGAGCCAAGGATGCTGCTGCACCCTGGCTGGCCAGCAGCTCCCTGCCCCAAGTGCCATGTCCTCCTGGAGCATGGGGACACAGCTGCAGCAAGGCCACCTTTGCTCTCTGTCAGGTTTATTCACAGGGCTCAGCACACTGTGGGAGCCTGGGCTGTGTTGCCACATGGCTGCTGTGCTGCCAACCTTGCATGGGCAGTCTGTGGCAAAAATACCCCCCCCAACATCAACAAAAAAATAAACCTCACAAATTTTGCAGTGCTACATTCTTTATGGACTCAGCTGGCTTATACTCAGAGAGTGTCAGTGCCACAATTAATCAAAAAATTGGAATATACCCCTGTGGCCAATGAGACTTAACTGATATGCAGCATGTAAAGAGTTTCAGCTTCCATTTCAAAAACATGAAGCAGAAAAACCCCAAATGCTTACGATATGCCCACAAGAATGACAGACAATTTAACAAGAGGAACTTTTGTGTCCAGGTAAATAGTTAAAAAGCTGGAACAAAGAGGATTTTGCTTCCCTTCAACTGCCAGCTCAGCTCAGGTTACATTAACCTTACTGTTTGTGCACTGAGTGCTCTACTAAGAGAGTTTTTAATTAGAAACAATATTGTTCCAACTTAAATATAGAAACCTATTTAGTGATTTCAATATGTGGATGTTCAAGGCCTATCTGCTTGGAATTACACTGGGATCTTGTGCAACACTGAAAAGGATTATCCCAGGTGTAGTAGTCAAAATAGCAAAGTCACCTTCATTGTTCTCTCTTTCTAATAATGGTTCCTTTCAACTCGTTTTTTCTCCTCAGACATGTTTATGATGGATTTATGTTTATTTATGTATTAGAAATCAGTTTGTACATCTCATGCATCTTGTGGTGCAGCCATGCATATATGTTGATGTGAATATATAAAGACATTTGCTAGGCAAAACAAGGTAATGAAGAAATTTCTTTCCACAAATATAAAATACTATTTGTAAAACACCACTTTCTAAAAGCCAAGCTGAAGGAAGGTTTTTATTATTGAAAAATATGTGATCAGGAGTAAATATAAAACTCTGGAACAATCATGTTACTATAAAGAAGCTCCAAACTCTCCCATGCCACAGTCTTTCCATAAGGTACAGATCTTAAGATTTCTCTGGCAACAGTCCAAGATTTAGAATGACAGTAAAAGATATTTTGAGGGAGGTTAAGTAATTTCAAGCCAAATTATGTCTGGAGTCAGAAAACTTTCTTGAGTGGATTGCATCAGAGTTCTGGGAGAAACTTGAAGCAAAGCAGCAGGGAAAACAATTTGCTTGGAAATCCCTTCACAATCCATAATAGTTCTGACTTCCCCATTTACCAATTATGTGGATTCTGATGAGAATTAGTTATGGATTTGTGATCTTTATCCAGCACATCATTCAGTCTTCCCGAGGCTTAAAGCCTTGGTGAACACTCAGAACATAATCACCTCTTAGCAGATTTCCTTGGGAGGAGCCAGGCACTGTAACCCACCTGGAGTGCACAAGCTTTCCCTTGTTTCACAGCCACATTTTTCACCTTGGTCTGCTGAAACCAAACCTATCCTTTGCTCTTATAGCACAAGAGAGGCCCTCCTCAGCTTTCACAGCATATGGTGTGATCAACCCATCAGCCTCTCTGCCCTGAAACATTGAAGTACTGACAGGAGAGTGGTTACAATCATCCTCCTAAGCCAGGGGCACACCAGGACCCTGATATTCTGTAGGAGCATCTGCTGCACAGCACAAACCCCCTACTTTTAGCCATGCATAAAGGGGCTAGATAGGTATCTCATGGAATGCTGTTAAAGGTGCCACATGTATTCTTTTTAGATGTTTATGTAAGGACAAGAGGAGATCTCCCCTTCAAAACACACACACTAAATCAGTAGAGGCAGCAAGGCTCAGTACCTGCTGTACCTTGTAGGCTGTATCAATCTTTCATCATTAGAAAGATTACATGCGAGCTCAGAATGAGATCTTTTACAATAATTGCTTCTGGACAAAAATTTGGTGTAGGGCAATAATGCTTTACTTTGAAGTATTTCTACCAACACTAACATATTTTTAAAATTCTACTGTATTTATTTTACACATGACATAAATCCTCTCAAAATAAAAAATGCCTGCTTTATGGGAATGTCACAAATAATGGCTATCAAAACCCAAACACATGAGATACACAGCAGTAAGTATTGTTCCACGTATGGATATTGAAGGAAAAGGTAATTCAGTCCTGTCACAGCTAGTGTCCTGAATACCAACATTAGAATACACAGTGAAGCCAGGCATTCTAACTTCTTTCTTGTCCAAAATGTACCTCTTCTAATGCACTAAAAAATTTTCATTGTAGGCAATTAGGAACAAATGAATTTAAAAATATTTTTAAACAATCGTACAATTTTGAAACAAGTGCTGAGGTGAAGATGCACTTCTTGTTTACATGAGAATTTCAACAGGTTATTACTAATGCATGCTGGTGATTTTCCTTCTCCTTCCAAAGCTAAAAATAAAAATCAACTATGGACATTGTCTACTTTTATCTCTAAGTCTTATTTAACATGGCTGAACAACTGACAGGTAAATCACTATGTATGAAGAATGGCATAGACAATAATGACAAGACTACAACAACACTGAACGACTGAGCACACTAAATTGCAGCCTCATGCAGTAAAATTATACTCTTTCAGCAAGGGTAAAAGGGTGAAGATAAATAAAGAAACCCCTTTATTTCTCAATTTGCAACTTTAGAAGTTAATAATAATAATAATAGGAAAAGCAGGTGCTGCAATTATTGCACATCATCCACAATGTTCTGTATTTTTCTTCTGCAGAAACCTACAGTATTGGACAAGAAATAAATATTGTGCTGGGTAAGATTTTTTTGGGTAATAAAAGTAAATAAACAATAGGAACTTCTACTTATTATCTGTGCTTCTGAATTGAATTTCAACTTTTGCCAAGCCCTGATCCTTCCCCACTACCAGCAGTAAAGTGATTGTTTGGTAAGCACAAACTATGACAGCCATTACAAGAAACACAAAACAAAGGCAGAAATGACAGAGCACAAAAATCAGAGACATTATATATAATAAAGGAAAAACATCCAGGGCAAAATTTCCCATCCCAGTGGTTATCTTTAGAGCCTCAAGGACCTTTCCTGGCTTTTCCTCATGAATGCTCATCCAGCAGTAATGAAAAATTACTTACATAAAGTACTCCAACTGGGTCAGACCTGGGAGAAGCTGTCACAGTCCCATACCTGGACCCACCCTTCACTCCATGCTTAGTTTAAATATTTGCCTACAAATACAAAAGTCTACAAAGCACTCCTGAGGCCTCTATCACTTTTTCCAATGCTCTATCATATCTAGACAGCTTACTTTTTAAAGAAAGGGAACTGTGGAGTTACTTCCTTGGCATATTGGCATTCCCTTTACCAGGTGGTGCACAGAGTAAGCCACATCGCCATCAATCTCTTCTTTTAAATTGAGGATTCACAGCAAAGTACCATGATTACCTTTAAGGAGAATGAAGCCACTAAAAATTGCACTGATATTTAATTCAGCTAAACACCATTCTAGGTGAAGCACTGTGACTCAGGACAGAAAATAATTGAGACCAGTCCCAAATACATGATCAGTATTTAAAACTATAAAGTTGGGCAGGATATGAAATGCTTTCTCAAGCATTTCTCTTTAACCTAATTTTTGCTAGTAGTCAGACTTCAGATGTGAGATAATTATCTTTTTAAACTCTAAGGTGTTACTAGCATTTTTTTAAAGTGTAATGCTGATTCACACTGTGTGAAGATCCTATGTAAGACGGACTCTTCCATGAAATAAATACAGACCCCTTCACACTCCACAGTCCTACTCAAAGTCAGCATAAAAACAAATTAGATACTTACTATAATCATACAATAGATTAGGCAGAAAACAGAGTTACTATACTTTCTATTTCAATCTCTGTTTATGTTAGTAGGCTGTGAATTGTTACAAACACAAAAGTAACGTCAGACCACCAGCATTACTCCAAGCCAGCAATTCTTTGAAGAACATTTGAGTAAGCACTGGTAGGTAAACAAGAAATCCACCTCACTGCTGCACACACTCGTCTTTCCCATTACAGTCCATAGGCAACACACACACCAAGCCAGGGAACAAGACATTATTTTCTCACTCATTAGACAGCCTCAAATATTTCTTAAATACATATAAGTATTTTTGGTCTTTATAAGAGAGAACAAACTAATTAACTAAGAGATCATATATCCAGAACTGTGATGCTAATGTTAGAACACCCAATGCCACAATCAATCAGATCTTGCAGACTTTTCTGTCCATTAACAAATCTTATTAGGGAAAAGAGTGTTCCCACAGAGAAACAAGGCTGTGCCTGCAAAGATGCAACCACAGGGCAAAGACCAGACCTGTCATCTGGTGAGCACTGGCTTTTATTATACTGCAAGAATGTTATCTCCTCTGGATAAATAAAAATGTTTCCTCTGGCTGGAATGACAAATCCCTTTGAAAATGTCAGATTACCTCATTGTAGTTTTAATTGCTATTGCTAATCAGGAAGAAAAGAAAGCACAGGAAACAAATATCTTAGAATTGCGTATGTGGCACATCTA